GTGTAGAAGCGGGTTTTGTTTTTGATGCATTCAAGCTGTGACAAAAAGAGGCTTTTAGGGGAACACAGCTTTCTTATATACCTGCTTTTAACGTTATAGACAGATCTAGAGTTCATTTAGACATACCTCAGTGTTAGTTCTTTCAGTACACCTGATTGAGACCTATACCAAAACGTATTGTAATTCACTCCTGACTGGTCTCCTAGCCTGTACAATAAAACTGTTACAAATGGTCCAGAATGTGGCAGAGCATCTGGTCTTCAATCAGCCCAAAAAGTATCATGTCACCCCTCTGTTCATTGAACTTCACTGGTTACCCCTGGCTGCCGGCATCAAATTCAAGTCCCTGATGCTAGTTTAGAAAGTCCTTAAGGGTACGGATCCTGTTTACTTGAACCCTTTTACTGAGGCTTACGGCACAACTCGGTTACTCCGGTCATCAATGGATTGTCGTCTAGCAGTGCCTACACCACGCTTAAAACAATCCAGACTGTTTTCATGGGTTGTCCCAAGATGGGGGAATGACCTACCAAGCGCTACAACAACAGCAGCGGCTCTTTCTATGTTTAGGAAACTTAAAGACCAACCAGCTCAAAGAGCATCTCTTATCCTAAAGGCTGATTTATACTGAGAAACCAGGTCATCTGCATGTGTGTCGCAGTGAACACAAATGTGTCCCCACCCCTCTGGTGAACCTCTTCGAAATTGCAGGTGACCGCAGACAGTGCCGCAGACAGGAGGCCAAATCTACATCCGCTCTAAACTATCCATATTTGCTGTTTGGTACCTTACTGGCTTATTTTGTTTGTATGACAACCATTGTGGAAAAAGACTCATAAAGATGGACCAGCTAGAAGAGCGAGGTGCGTGAGAATGCTGGGACCTTTTTTCCACCTGGATCCCCACTCTTTTCCATCCTCAAGTCTCTCCGTTTTCACACAAATTTGCCCCCTTGTGTTTCTCCACTTCCTCATCCCCTCGGCCATATCTAGACCCACAGTTCGTGATTGTCCCTCTTGCATTGTGGCTTGGAATAACATGGCTCAAACAACGCTTCAATTTTGAGCATAAATCAAAAATATCTGTGACAAGCTTACTGTGACACACTGCTGCGGGAGTATAACCAGCCCTTAACTCTTACCCATACCTCTGTACCCCTCTACAACTTTTTCTGCACTTTGCTGTCACCACTGATTCTCACTAGGGATTTTTCCACTAGAGAAATTGTCATATTGATGCTAACAGTAAAATTGTGTCTTCTTTGTAAGTTGTTTGCAATAAAAGCATCTGCTAAATGCATAAACATAAACATTAATGCAGCAAAAGTTGAATCAGTATGAAGGAATTTGATCAAAATGTTGCTGTAGTGATATTATGCTAATGTAAAACGGTTAAAGGAAACCTAGGTTCTTTCATCCTTTTAATAGCAAGGAATTCAGAAAGTTGTTTAAAAATACGATATACAGGATGATGGAAACCCTGCATGCGTTTAACAATCCAACTGTATAGGCTCTGTATAAATATTCCTTCTATCACCAAAAATTTCAGTTTATTCTCATAACAGAAAAAAACTTCAGCATGAAGCTAGATTATTTACCATATATACACACTTAAGCTGTAGCAGCTTTGTGAAAGATTTGCTTAAAAAAAAAAAATAGCACTTGCAGAATATCTCTGACTGTAATGACCAGAAAATTGGAGACCCAGAATTCAACCAGAAACGACAAGAAGCCTTTCAACAGTTTTTTGGGAGGGACTCACTAGTTAACAAAAGTAACTTCTGGAAGGAGTTTGGACAGTTGAGTGACCTGATAGAAACAGAGGAAAATGTTTGTAATGTTAGACTCTGGTTCACTAACCTCCTCTTTGTTTGGGGAGAAACTTTGAGAGTTTCAGAAAAAGATGGTTGGTGTTTGACATCACTGCCCAGAGGAAAACTTTTTTGCTCAGGATAGTCTTTTCTTGATCTCTCAAGACAGTACGGAGATCTCAATTGAATATCTTTATGAGATTTCTTCAATCTGAATTGTGTATCTTTTTGAGATCACCTCAATCTGAATTATTGCTCCTAAACCCCCCCTTAGGAGCAAAATTGAGATATTGTGAGAATGACTTTTTGAGACTTGTAGGAGAAATGATAGTCATAGATAAGATCTCATCATTGCATCTTTTTTATTTCATTCATGTCTTGCTTATTGCTCCTAAAAAGCCGGTTGGAGCACTAAAGAGTTAAAATACAGATCTCAATTGCCTGTCTTCTTGAGATCACCTCAATCTGAATTATTGCTCCTAAA